CTGTGTTCAATTGTGTCTATAAAGATTGAATCTTTGTATGTCATATTTTCTTCTCTTAATTCTACTATTCTTTTATCAATATTTTTTATATTTTTCTTAACATCTCGGATGATGCTATCTCTTGAAGCTTCTGTGTCTTTCTTTATCTTCTTTCTCCTTGTTTCTTCTACTTTATTTGATTTGTTTGTAGAGGTTTGGTTTGTACTTAGTGAGAAATTTCTTTGTTGTGTATCTTGTTGTATATTAATGTTAAGCTTCTCTATTTGGTCAATGATTTTATTTATTATTTGGATTGGTTTTTCTTATAATATTTCTTCTCTTACAACTTCTTGATGTCTTTTCTTTATTATTAAAACTTGTATCTTTTCTATGCTGTTCAGTTTCTTTATTCCTTCCATTTTCCTCTCTTTCTTAAGTATTTCTTCTTTGTTCATATTTGTAATATATTCAACTGATTTTGGATTTTGATTCATCAGTCTAAGTCTTTGTGCCCATTCATCTATTATATCTTCTTCGAGCCAACTCATTTCTGCTAGGCTCAAGGCTTTAAGAATTTGTACATAAAGTAGTACATCACTTAGTGTAATATGGTTTGGGTTGTTTATTGCTAGGTCTTTTGCTATATGCTCTACATTACTTGGTTCTTTTGCAGGCGTTGTTAGAATTTGGTCCAACAATTCAGAATTTAAATATCTTCGACTTTTATTACTTGTCCCCTTAATGTAGCACATGATGTTTGTGTCGATAACCCGATCTATTTGATTTGTTTGTTGTATTTCTATTTTGTACGCTTTCCTTCTTAATTTGTTTACGTGCAGCTTGTGTTGTACTATCTATCTATTTCCTAATTGAGAACGTGACTTTGTTGTTTGTTGTTTGTTGTTGTTGTTTAGTCAGTCATGTGTTCTCTTTCTGTTTTTCAGAGTCAATCGTAATTTCCTAAACTTTCAAATTTTACACTAAAAAAGAAAGAAAATTTTTCTAAAGGCAAGTTTAGTCTGTTAGAGATATCTCTTCTGTTGTTATATTTCTACTATTGTTTATATATTTTTAAACATAAATTCTTTTTCCTTAAGAACCCAAAGACTGTTTTCTATTTGTTTCAGTTGTGTTTTGTGTTTTTTGTTTCTGCTCTACTTGGAATCAGAGATCAGCAAGAAGAGTTGGATGAGTAACACAAATATAATTTAAAAATTTTTAATATAATTACTTCTATTATTTAATAAAGTTTTTACTTCAACATTTCAAAAAAAAATAATAATTTATATGTATTATGCTAACTGCACATATCCAATTTATATTACTAAATATTATATGCAATATATATATAACTATACATTTAATAATTAACCAATCAGAGTTGATGCACACTATGCTGTAATTGGCTAATGATGATGTTTGATCACATGATCTTAAATGGGCATGCCAAATTTTTTACCCATGCCCCAAACGCTATTAGAACCGTAGATAGAAATTAAAAATCCCTAAAATTTTAATTTAATTGGTTAAGAATCATGAAAAATCACGGATAGATCTATAAAAATTAACCAATCAAACAAACTTCTGCCTATGTGGCCCGGCCCGCATTTAGGTTTAAAAATTTTTTTGTTGGCCCGCATATATATAAATTTTTTCTTCAAGCCGACCCAGCGCGCAAAATTTATTATTAAATTTTGAAAATTTTTAGGTCCGCAATTCTATAATGATATAAAAATAAGACCAACGAATTATGAAAGCTTGGTAATATTTAACGTTCTACTTTATGTGACGCATGTAAATGCGTGAGGTTACTATCTCATCCTAAAATCCAATGTATACCACCTAACCATGTTGCAATAAATCCTAAAATTTTGTTTCAGGCCCGGCCCGCAAAAATTTACGGGCTGGGACCCAATGCAGGACTCTAAGGCAGCTAGTTTTTAATATTTTTTGTATTCTCTGATTCAGGAAAAAGTAATTTAAAAAAACTTATGCATTGCGGCTGTTTTAAAAAAAAATGTAAATTCGTCAATTTGTGTAATTTATAAAAATATATGGTAAAATTTCGGATGTAACAAATCGTGCAATTGTTTGTTCGATTTCAAATTTTCATTAAACTAATAAAAATATTTTTTTTATATATCAAACCTGATATAAACAGGATAACTAAAAAATATTTATAAGTTCAAATTAATTATTAATTAAAAAGAAATATAAAATAGGTTATCTATCAAAATATCTTATTACTGATTAGATATCATACGCACATATGTACTAACTCTAAATAAAATCATCTATAATTTCTATGCCTCTCATGCCTGGAATCTCAATTCCTTCTTCAACGAGTTTAGCTATAAAAGGTGTAATAATGGGATCCTTTCTGGGATCATAGCCTGTTTTTTTAATTTTTTCTTGCCAACTTTCACCATCATCTTCGTCTATAACATTAATTATTGGTTTCGGTGGTGGCATCAACCCTTGTTGTCGTTGCACGAAATCTGGTGCTTCCTGAAGTGCTGAAAATATTTGTTCTTCAATGTCGTCTTTAAATGTTCGCTTTGATGTTTGTTTGTATGTATCAATTGGTGCTAAATTTTCCACCTCTTTTGCTATTGTCATCTCTTCTTGTTTCGTTGGTTGCATGATTTTATCCTGTCCGCTTTGCTGCACTTGTTTAAGTGGATTAATTGGACTCTTGCTGCTTTCTTGTCTTATCTGTCGCTGCCTGTATTTATCATTTCCAATTTTTTGTGCTCGTTTAAATGGATTTATTGGACGTGTTGGAGGATTTTCCTCGTGATATCCATATCGATTGATAACACCATTATTATCCTGTTCAATTCCATTCTTCTTGCTTTTGTTAGAGAGTTTAATATGATACTCTTTCCACGATTCATAAAATAAATGTTTCACACCATAATCTGTATACTTCAGTAAATGATGTTTTTGAGGTTCATATTGAAATCTTTTGAAAAAATTTTCTTTAAACCTTTCAATAGGGACAGCTATTCTTTCTTCAACAAATGAAAATCGTTGTTCCTTTTCCCATTGCTTTGGTGGCCTTTTCCCTCCATGCGTTTCTATATATTCCTTAAGACTTTTGTCTATATAGTCTGATGCCTCTTTACCAAAGTTTTTAATAAATCTTTCAACATGTTCTCGAAATTTTTTGTGTTGTTTTTCTACTACTTTATCTTCAGGTTCAATATCCGTGTCTCCATTAAGCATTATATATTCTTTAGCATCTTTAAGGTATGTATCAACCTTCTTTTGGTAAAGCTTCGTAAGGTCATTAAGCTTCATTTGCTTTTATGATTCAATTCTATAATATTTCGAATCATAGAGTCGCGTAAATTTATACCAATTTCCAATCATGTCATAGGGTCTTGTGTAACAATAACAAATGTCCAATCCATTAAATATATACTGTCAACTATCGATATAACGGAAATCCGGGCTGGCCAAAAAAATCCGTTATATAGCATGTTCGTTATACCTATATAACGGCCTATATAACTGAATTAAGCTAGAATCCGTTATAAACATATTGTGTAATACATTAATAAATCAAATACGCATAGTCATTTATTATAGCATTCTAAGTACACTCTTTATAGATGCACACCTTTAAGTTTACACTTAGCTTGGTCCGCTTGAAACTTAGTGCTAAATGCACTCCATTATACTCTGCACGTGCATAAGTTCTGGGACCGAGCATATGCATATATCCTTTGTAAATGCACACAGAATTTTATACCTGCGCCAAATGCACACTTTTGTGGGTCCTTTAAAGCCGGACAGATTACATAATAATCAGCCAATCGGATTGTCAAAATTTGATAAACCTGAATCAAAGCAAAACAAGCAAAAAAAAGAGAGAAAATGAAAAATATCAAAACGATAATCAAAACCTGTTTTGATGCATTAACAAAAAATATCAGAAGGTAATTTTGCTTATATTAGTACTTCTAATTCTAATCCAAAGTGGTTCTAATCCTAATATTAATGAAAAAACAGTGTAACATGTAATCTGTCAGACTTTAAGGATTTTTTACTTTTGGTTCTAAAGAGGACATATGTTAATCACTTGTATTTTTTTATTTCAGTTTGCTAGTTGAATTTTCTATTGCACATTTCTCTAAATACATATATACATTTCGATCCTATAGGCATGCACTTATAAAAAGTTTTATTGTACAATTCTGATCTAATAAAATGCAATTATTATAATCACATTTTGAACAATTTAAAATTAAAATTAAAATGATACATGAATTAAACTTTAGTTGGACAAGTTTAACTGATATATTAAATAAAAATATAACAAAGTAACAAAAAAATATATTGCCAAATTTTTATTTTTATCGTATTTTTTTAAAACCTCTAAATTCTTCATTAACTATGTAAATTAAAGAGTATTTTAGAAGATCTGCATACTAAAAAAAGAAGATACATGGGTCAAAAAAATGAAATATAAAAAAAAATAATGTAAAAAAAAATAAGTAAAAAAAAAAAAAAAACATAAAATACAAAAAAAAAAAGATCAAAAAAACTTTGATCTTCATTAAAAAAAGAACTCTGTAATGTTAGCCTGCTTCTTTTAAAAAGAGATGTATCTTGAAACTTCCTTTTTCAACTAATAAACAGTACTTTTATTTCTATCAGTTACAACAAAATCCTCAAGTTGTTGCAAAAGATACATTTCAACCAAATTAAAGACTTTCAAAGCCTCATTATTTATAACTCTAGACACTAATAATGTTTTTTCTTGAGGAAGGCAGTCATTAGTGTTCCTATGAACCTGAACTGAACTAAACTTTGGTCAAGTTCAGGTTCAGATTCAGTTCAATACTGAACCTAAACTTGAACTTTTTCTAAAAAAAAGTTCAATTCAGGTTCAGTATTGAACTTTTAATTCAAGTTCAGGTTTAGTTCAGATTCATAAATTTTAAGTTCAGTTTAGGTTCAGGTTCAATGATCTGCAAAATTTGAAGTTCAATTCAGGTTCAGGTTCAATGATTTGCAAATTTTAAAGTTCAATTCAGATTCAATAAACTTGGTTCATAATCTAAACTAAACTAGAAATACTAATTTTGAATTTTTTATTAAAAAATCAAAAATTAAACATCTTTTCTTTAAATTTAAAAAATAAAAAGTAAATATATACTAATATGATGTATTTTTATGTATAGAACAAAGTTACTTAAAGAATGAAAATAGAATTGATTAGTATAATTTCAAGAATTATAACAATTTTCATAATTTTATTAATAAAATTATAAAAAATATTATAATTCTTAAAATTTTATTAATTAATTCTATCTCTATTCTCTAAGTAAATTTGTTCTATATATAAAAAATATATATATAATATTGAATCTGAACATGTTTATGAACTTTGAACTGAACCTGAACTGAACCAAATTTTAAGTTCAGGTTCAGTTCAGGTTTATAAATTTTAAGTTCAGTTCAGGCTTATGTTCAATGGTCTGCAAAATTTGAGGTTCAGTTCAGGTTCAATAAACTTGGTTCATGAACCTAAATTGAACTAAACTGAATCTAGAAACACTAGCAGTTATCATTCTTATTAATAACACAGATTATATCACTGTCAAAAGGCATCTCAAAAGTGACATCAACATTGATGTTTATAATTTTATTTGTATTTATAAAATCATTAATTTCAGAATTGTCCTGCAGGTATTGTTGAATAAGCTGGGAACTTGCAATATATGGTAGTATGGTATCACTAGGGTTGGAGGAACTCCCTAGGTATAACCAGAATTGTCCTGTTTGTAAGTGCAACAAGTCCCAGTCTCTACTATAAAAGGAAGCACCATGTTGG